ATGGGAATATCAGAAAGAAGGAAGTTTCCCATTTATTGCTGTGGCTGTTATTGCCTTTTCAAATATAGAGGAAAAATGAACGAACTGTTAACTTTCAAGTGTATTCGTCTATAAAAGGCAGTGGAATTTTTCCATTTAATAACTCAGATCCTTGCGATAGGTAGGAAAAGGAGCAGAATATTGAGCTTAGTCACTGTGAATAGCTGATTTGCGGTGCGTTTTTGCACTGTAGGCTAACTTCGGTGATGTGATGGACATTTCCATTGTGTAGCCTCGCTGGCGCATCCATCACCTTGATCACAATAGAATAGGAAATTCTGCTGTGCATATCGGACTGGTCTAAATGTCAAAGTATGCAAAATTTCCTTTTTCTCTTTTTTTTAAAGAATGCTTACTTAAAACCTGTATTTCGAACTGTTCTCCATGAATCTAATAATACAGGGTTTCCCAAAAATCTCCATACATAGTGGACTGTGTTCGCCAGCACCACGTCGGTTGTTTCTTCATCAGTAGATGTTTGTGGACGTTCACTTCTCGGTCAGTCTGCAACACTTCCAGTCTTTGTTGAATTTGTTAATAAGTTTGGCAGCAGTGTCGTGCGTGATGTGCCCGCCCTGTTTCCTGTTAAAGTCCATCGCAACCTTGCGACAGCTTCCTGATCCAGCCATGAGAATGATTTCAATACGTTCTTCTTCTGTCAGAGGTGTTCTTAAAGGCTATCTGAAAAAAATATATATAATATAAACTAAGTATGAAAAATTTTAGAAGACGTTTTGCTAAAAAGTGTTAATTTCCCCTATGTATGGAGACTTTAGAGAACTATACTCTGTATCTAAAAACGTAACATACTTTACATTGTTTTTCTGAGCACTTGTTCCAACATGTAGGCATTACCCTACTGGCCAGCGTGTTTACGTCAGTTGTGAGATTATATGACTGAAGGGTACCATAAAAAGTGTGATGTCTGGATATCGAGGTGTGATAGCAAGTAGCCATAATTTTCCAGGTTACCCTGTGGCCTAGACTCTATATCTCATCATACAGAAATCCATCTTCTTTATTAAGAGAGGAGGAAGACCATCTCAGATATAGGTTTGTGATTTGTTTCTGATGATTCGTATAACTGCTCAGGCACGACTCAAAAGACTGAAGGCAGTCAAAGTGCAGAGCAGGAACATGAAGATGCCACTTCACTCGATTCAACACGAACTTTACATCAGAGCCAGACGTCAATTTGGAAATCACAATGGCTGGAACCATGGCTGGTTCAAAACCAGGCACAGTTTGTCTTTGTCACTAATAATAAAGTAACACGTCTTGAAATGAATGTATTTTTTTTATAGCGTTTCTTTTCTTTGTGTGATTGAACACTCATGAGAGTCAAAGTAAGCAAAGTAAGGAAAGTAATTTTGGAAAATTAACGCTAGCCACTGCCTGGGCTCGTAACAGGGAAGTGTATGCCCTATTGCCTGTGAATTGCTTGTGCTTTCTGGGGGGAAGGGATGGTATACTCATTCTCCCCTGTCAATCATAATGACACTGCTAATGTTATGGTTATGGTTATGGAGAAAAAACAAGAGCAAGATACAGTTGGCTTGCTTCCTGTGTCTTGGAGGAAGCACGTGTTAGCCTTCACTATAGTTGTTGTATCATAGGGCAAATTGGGGAGAAAAATGGAGGGAAAAACTCCCAAACAAACAAACAAACAAACAAAAAAAACAAGTGATAATGTGCAGGGTGCTAAAACTTACACTGATCAGCCATAACATTAAAACCACTGAGAGGTGAAGTGAATGAGATTGATTATCTCATTACAGTGGCACCTGTCATGGGGTGGGATATATTACACAGCAAGTGAACAGTCAGTTCTTGAAGTTGATGTGTTGGAAGCAGGAAAAACTAGCAAGCGTAATGTTCTGAGTAAGGGCCAAATTGTGATGGCTAGACGACGGGTCAAAGTATCTCCAAAACGGCAGGTCATTATGTTATGGCTTATCGGTGTATATCATATAATGACAGTGTCTCAGTGACCTCAGTTACAGCATCACCCAATGATTCAGGTACTTTTTAAGGACGTGACTAATAAAGCAGGTACAGTTTAAGGGTCTGGACATTTCAAATCACAGTGATTGGGTTAACTCCAAACACTGCTCTTCCCAGTCATAATAAAATCGATAATATTAAATAAATTTCTTATTTCAATGCTCTAAAGCCATTTTGATAGACTTCTCTGTACATGTGCCTTATTTACATATACTACATAGTTTCTGGTTTAAACTGAGCCAATACCCAGCAGTTCACTGACATGGACTATAAATAAGAGCCAATAAATAACAGTGTAAAAAAAAAAAAAAACTGCATGAAAGTTGAGACAGATATAATTCATTGATATAGTCTGTTTGTCCCTTTCCTGATTGGAGAGCAATCTATCAAAGAGACCCGGAATAATTAAAAGTCATCATTTTGTCAAACAGTGACAGTAAAGGGAGGGAGTCAGAACGTCTCTTTTTGAGAGGTGTTATTTTCCTTCATCTGAGAGATGACCCTTAAGTGCAACTTGACACCCTTGATATCCAGCATCAACCATTTTGTCTTCGTCTGCCTGTACTTCTTTGCTCTTATCAATACCATTTTCCCACAATAAGATACTTTTCAACATTTTGCAGTAGCTTTTTTCCCTATATTTTCTTTCTCTGACTCACCAGTCTCAATTTTCCTCCTTTTAGTTTGTCATGCATCAAAAGAGCTTGACGTTTGTGACAGGAAAGGTTCTGGAGACCTCTTCCTGTCTGACTGACTAACTTTTTTTTTTCTTTCTCCCAGTTGTCAGTGGAGGATCAGCTCTACTGCCTGCTCCGTCTTCGGGCCTTTCCCATGGCAGAACTGTGTAGTGAGCAAGGAAGCGCTAGATCCCTCAGGCCTAACCTCATTTCACACAGAACCAGGATGAAGGAGAGGCACAGATTCTGATACTTGGCTTGTGCAGTCTTCACACATACAGTATTTTGACTATTTGAATCTAACTCTGGTTCTTTTCTGTCCTTTGGTGTGGTTTGTTGGTGTGGGTGGGTGTAAACACAACTGGTTTAAGATGGTTCGTTTCAACCCTAATTCAACTTAATTGCAGGAATGAACCAAATTTGCTACATATGATAGATTTTGAGTGCCATTGTTTCGACATATGAGCAAGAGATGATTGTTCCAAATGTTCCAAATGTTCCAAAAGTTTCAAATTCAGGAAATATAAGCTAAAGTACTCAGAAATCGTGGCTTCATTAAGGCTCAATGTTCAGTGTGCTCAGTTGATTTCTACCTGATTTCAACATGGAACAACTTCAGAACAATCAGCCAATTAGAATATTTTAAGACTTCGACAATGGTGGCATTCACACCTCAGGTCTAACCAATCATGGCAACCAATCATGGATCTCTTCCTTGTGGTGAATGCACCAACAAACAAACCCCAAAAAATGAATATGGACTAATTCTTATGACTTGCTTCAGTTTTTATCACATGATATGTGACATGACTGATTCTTCTCTAAGCTTCTAAGCCTGTTTCCTTTTTTCTTCTGCACAGGCCCCCAAAGATTTTGGAGCATTGGAAAGACAGTCCATTGAGTGGGAAGCAAGGCAGTTTGGAAAAGCATCCAAACTGAATGCCAACCTCTGCTGTGACTGGCTAGCAGCAATGTGTGAAGGAAGAAGCTATGTTGGGTCATCCAACCCAGACAGAATTTGGTTGTAGCAAACATTTTAAGGACTATTCCTTTTTGAAATCAAGACTTTTAAATAGTTTATTGATGAAGTATCAGAGTTAAACACATCGTTTCATTTTTATAACAGGATCTATACTCTGATTTGTATTTTTGAAGTGAAGTGAAGTGACCCATACTCGGAATTTGGGCTCTGCATTTAACCCATCCAAGTGCACACACACAGTAGTGAACACACACACACACACCGTGAACACACACCTAGAGCAGTGGGCAGCCTTTTTTGCTGTGGCACCCGGGGAGCAGTTGGGGGTTCGGTGCCTTGCTCAAGGGACTCACCTCAGTCGTGGTATTGAGGGTGGAAGAGCGCGCTGGTCATTCACTCCCCCCACCTACCATCCCTGCAAGGACAATTTTTGAAGGATTAACAGAAAAGTGTGGGCTACGTTAATAATATTAAACAGTGTGGTGTGTATCAACGCTACGTTCTGAAGTTCTTGTCGATTGATTGGAACAACTTGCTTATTTCTTGAGTAGTCAGTGTTGCTTAGCTTACCATATTTTTAAACTAGTTTGCCCATTCACATTTAAGACGCATTATACCACAGCATGGTTGAATGCTTGAATCTGATTGATCAGAAGGTGTGCATTATTTTTGTATAACAGCACAGGTAGTTCTGTCTTTAATATTAACAATAGGATAACGTTAATGTGCTCATTCTAATATGCTAATGTTCATATGGAAACAGCTCATACACAGGGACTTGTACGGCAGATGCTCAACAAAATCTCATAATAATAATATACAGATTTAAAGAAACGTGTTATTGTTTAACAAAGAAAAACCTATAATTGTTGCTGTGGTGATTTTTTTTGTTAAGAGACATTTATTAAACCTTTATGGATGGAGTCTCCTTTGGAAGCATTTTGTAACAGTCACAGTGCTTTGTGAAGTTTATCAGCACAGGAATGTCTTCAGGACAAAGGAGTTTATACTTTCCAGTTTCTCTGTAAAATGACAAGCTGCATTCTTTGAGCGAGAGAAAGCAATCTGATCAAGTCAGAGAGAGAAAAGCTAGCTTTTACTCTCGGACGTTCCGCAACAATGTTTTTCCCCTTCTTTTGGCTGCTCCCATTCGGGGGTTGCCACAGTGGAAACCCATGTCCGCAAATTTTGACTCTGGCACAAGTTTTACACCAGATGCCCTTCCTGACACAACCCACTCCATTCTCTGGGCTTGGGACCAGCACTGACTTGTGCAACCCTCCAGTGGCTGGGGTTAGTTCCCTGACCAGGAATTGAACCCAGGCTATGGTGGTGAGAGCACCACATGCTAGCCACTAGTTCACCAGGGAACCACCTTCCACAACATTTGGTTATGGACATCCACAACATTAGTATGAAAATACATATGGTTGTGCTGTTATACGAAAATAATACGCTTCAGGGGGTAGCGGCACTCCGCTTGAGTGTTGTGCCGTATCACGCCCCCCGACGTGCATTATTTTCATATAATAACATGGTTTGGAGTGTGTTATTCCTTACATTTGGAACATAAACTCTCAGTAAAACTCAAACCCTCTTAATAGCCTATGAAACTTTAAGTTTTTTAATTTTAAAATTTAAACTTTAACTAAAACTTTAACATCTTGTGTTAACAATTTATTCAGAACATGTTTCAGATAAATGTTCCCCATCAGGATGCATGATTTTGTATAATCTTCCTTAGATGACACTACAAGTACAACCGCAACATCATCGTCTCAGTTGAAATGGTGCCATTTTGGCAAACAGCAGTACTTTAATATATTACTTCTTGCTGCTTGCTCTCCCACTCCATAATTTGATGGACAGCAAAGATCCTCCTACAGTTCTGAAAAAAAAGCACTCAAGGTTTTCCTAAGTTTTTTGGGTGACACTTGGAAACACTTTGGATTACGCATAAATCAAGCATTACAGAGATGTAGGTGCCCACTATGATGCCCGATTATAAATGCCTGGCTGCTCTCTGGTGGCCTTGTGGGCACAGCAAAGAGTCTGTGGTGCGTTCGCTGTTGCCGGAAGTGGCAAGATGTGAAGGAGAGATGTGAAAGAGCGAGAGAGGATGTGTGTCTCTTCCTGGCAGACATGTTGCCTTCACAGCATACTGACAGCTGAAAGCCTGTCCATCGCGTTTGAACGAAGGACCCCTCCCAGGACTTAACCCACATTTACTTCTATTTCAGGGTAACCACCTCTTCGCACACATTTAGAAGCTCATCCACTGAAGCAACACGAAAGTGACTCTTCAACATAACCGCAGGATACAGACACCCACCAAAAAAAAAAAAAAAAAAGAGCTTTAGAAACATGTACCACAAAACACATAGACACAGAGCTCAGCAGGGATCAAGCGTAAAGCTTTGGGAGGGACAAATGTGCTAATACTGTCTGTATCCACACACTTTCATCCTTTCATCCATCTCACAGATCTTTTTGCTCTTGCTCTCTCTCCATCTCTCTTTGGAAAAGTTAGCAAGTGCGGGTAGGATTACCCAAGGCGCTGTGGTGGAAGAGTCACAGTCTGTCAGACAGCACAGTGAGATGCACAGTAATCTGCGTCTCTAGCTTTTATGAAAGCTCACACATATGCACCACAGGAAGACAGAGACTCTGAAATTTTTGTCAAAAAGTTTTAGCCTGTTTTCTGTTGACTTGTAGAAGGCATGAATGATGGCTGCTTATCTTGGGACCAGGGACAGAGGGATGTGGGCGAAAACAGGAGAAGAAAAAAAATAGCTTTGATTGGTTGAACACATGGCCATGGCAGGGAAAATTTCCAGATCTTGCTGGTTCTCGACAGTGTGTTCAATCAATCAAAAATAGCGAATACTTTCAAACCACCTTTCTTCACAATTCCGCTGTCCTGGTGTTCCTGTTCTGTTTGGCTGTCTTGGCTATATTCTCAAAATCAGACATGATTGGCCTTCTTCCAGGTTCTGTCTCAGGCCTTGCTTCCTTTTTCTTGTCTAAATGTTCCTCTGTATGATTCCTTCAATATACTGGAAGACACTCATACTGAGCTCTTTGCCCTGCTCCTTAGACACCAAGGTCCAAATCCAAACTTTGTTTTTCCTTTGTTTCTTTCTTGTTTCGTTTCATCCCTCTTTCCATTTCTATTGATCTCCCTCTTGAGAGATTCTCTCATACATCATTCTCCCCCACCTGTTCCCTCCACCCGCATAGGGAGATGGGTGAAAACAGAAAAAAGAAAAAGTGATGTCCTTTGATCCTTTGATTGTTGGAACACATGGCCTAGAGAGTGACCAGAGAAAGGGATACTTCTTCATGTGCACTTTCCAAATCTTGCTGGTTCTTTTTAACCACTTTTCTTTACACATCTGCTGTCTGTGCTCCTATTCTGGTTGGCCTTCCTCTTCTGTTGTCCTGGTGTTACTATTCTGGCTGGCAGTAATGTTTTTAGGGTGTTTTCAGATGCCTTTGGCTTCAATCTGCAGCCAGAGGTAAGAATAAAACCAGAGGATGGGATACCTATGGCTCGAGTTGGCACAGTGTTGGATCAGCCTCTGAGAGTCACCGTAAGTGGGACAGACTTGCCCAAATTCCCCTACAGTTGCCTTCCAGCCACATGTATGCCTGCTCTGACAAGACACTTGCTCCAGAAACGTTTTGCCCAAGGATGTGGTGACAGAACAAGGGACAGGACAAAACAGCCATGAGAGGTTCTGTCTGTGAATAAACTGGGATTTATCCACTAGCTTATTCCCTTCAAAGCTTCTGGAACATTTTACATGCAAAGCTTGTGACTTAAACTTTGCCAAGTCTTGCTGACCATCATCTCAGTTACACTCTGAGACATCACTGGCCTCTGATCCTCAAGATGGCTTCCAGGTTCTGTCTTTGCCCTCCTTTAATATCTGGGAAGCATCTCACACTGAGCTCTTTGGCCTGTTCCTTAAAATCCAAACTTTGTTGTCCATTCTTCTTCTTTCTTGTTTTTGTGTGTCCATCTTTCCATTTTCTATTGATCTCCCACTTGAGAGATTCTCTCATCCTCCATATCTTTCTCCCCCACCTGGTTCCCCCACCCCTCAGTTTCCACTGCCTCTGTCTAGGCCCTGTGTATGTACTGATAGCCATAGTGTTTACACACACTTGTCCACACACAATCTTCTCAGCTAGATAATCTTATTTCTCGTCCTCAATGGGAAAAAACAAAGACAACGTAAGCCCACTTTTATAGCTTAGGAGGTTCTCACTTTCACATCTCACATATTTGCAACACTCTCTTTTTTCCTGTAGGAATAGGGGTAAAATTAAGTGCAAAAAGTTGAGGGTTTGATTAGGGTGGGACGATCGCCACACTCCCACACATTATATCATTAATTCTGTCTCCTTACCCCAAATGTAGTCAGTCAAGCAAGATATGCATACTTGGTTCAAGTTCATCCAGAAGTTTGCTTCTTCATTTTGCACTGGAGCTCTGAGGTTAATATTGCTAACAAATGACGGAAGCTTCTGGTCTCTGGTTTAGCATCATGCACCTTGCACCTCATTTCCACCTCACATTGTATATTGGGTGAAGAAAGACCTGACAAACCTGTCAAAACACTGCAAAGTTAAAAGCAGTAGTAGCTCACTTCTGATTGGCTAAAACGGCTCAAGAAATTTGAGTGTAATGCCACCAAAATTGGAATTTTGTGCATCTGAAAATTACACGCCTAAAATTTTAAATGTACAAGATTCTAATCCAAATTCAAGCCTCTACAAGAGCTCTGAAGGTGTGCTGTGGTATCTGGCACCAACACGATAGCAGCAGATCCTTTAAGTCCTGTAAGTTGGCGAGGTGGGACCACAGATGCTCGAATTGGATTGAGATCTGATCCAAGTCAACATCTTGAACTCTTTGACATGTTCCTCAAACCATTCCTGAACAATTATTGCAGTGTGGCAGGCCACATTATCCTGCTGAAAGAGGCCACTGCCATGAGGGAATACCGTTGCAATTAAGGGTCTGCAACACTGTGGTGCGTGTCAAAGTAACATCCACATGAATGCCAGGACCCAAGGTTTCCCAGCAGAACATTGCCCAGAGCATCACACTGCCTCTGCAGACTTGCCTTCTTCCCTTAGTGCATCCTGGTGCCATCTCTTCCCCAGGTAAGCGATGCACACGTACCTGGCTGTCCACATGATGTCAAAGAAAATGTGATTCATCAGACCAGGCCACCTTCTTCCATTGTTCCATGGTCCAGATGCTCACTTGTCAATTGTACACAAGGCCTGCCGTTTTGGAGATGCTCTGACTCTGTCATCTAGCCATCACAATTTGGTTCTTGTGCTTGCCCATTTTTCCTGCTTCTAACACATCAACTTCGAGAACTGACTGTTCACTTGCTGTCTAATATATCCTATCAAGTTTTGTTACACAGTTTTGTAGGCTGATTGTGTTACACAGTTTTGTAGGCTAATTGTGTTACACAGTTTTGTAGGTTAGTTGTGCTATACAGTTTTGTAAGCTAGTTTTGTTACACAGGTTTGCAAGCTATTTGTGTTACACAGATCTGTAGGCTTGTTGCAGTACACAGCTTTGTAAGTTAATTGTGTTACACAGTTTTGTAGGATAGTTTTGTTACGAAGTTTTGTAAAAAGGAGACAAGTCACCGTATTTGTTTTCTCCCTCATTGTTTTGTTTTCTTCCTCTGACCTCTCACTTTAGGTGATAAAAACCCACATAGCAGCATTTATAAACACTTGAGATGTTTTGTAATGATGCAACTGTATTGCTTTGTGTGTGTGCCTGTGTGTACACGAGAGAGTTAATTAGTGGTGACTTACCAGTTCTTCGCTCTGTTTGAGATCTCACTCAGCATGAGATCGTGGTTGCTACACCTCCTCAGCTTCTCAGGACTCAGAGTAACATCAGGCATTGTTGCTCCGTAACCTGGGCAAATAAACAATATTAATGAGCCAAGGTGTGAGTAGAGAGCTGGATGATAAAGTATAGAAACGTAAAAATTGCAGTTCTAAAGTGGCATTAAGAGTTATAAAGTGAAAGTGCAAAAAAGTGGCTGTGAAATGAGGTACAAATCGACACACTGTTCATTTAATGAACAGCTTGTTTCATTAACTGCGACAAATCCTGGCACTTTAAGCCATGTTATAATCCTTTTTATACCACAGCGCTGTTGAATTCTTCATTCCGATTGGTCAGAAGGTGATGATTAATTTTTTTTATTAACTTTTCTTGTTTTGGAGACATTCCACAAAATTAAATGTAGCTATAAACAGCTAAAAATATGACTTCTCATTCTTTAATAAATAAAAAATAACAATTGTGGACAAATTGCTACTG